CTAAGGCACTTGACTGCTAACCAGAAGGCTGGTGGTTCAAACCCACCAGCCACTCCTTGGAAGGAAGATGGGGCAATCTACTTCCATAGTCATACTGCCTCGGAAACCCAAGGTGGGGTCGCTATGAGTCGGGTCCAACTCGACGGCATATAACAACAACAAAAAGAGAGAGAGAACTTCCCAGAAGATTACTTCATGCTGCTCCCAACAGAAATATGCCAGGTGGATACGTTTAACAATCAGGAGGTACTCAGTTGCCCATAGCAAATTCCACTATGGGGTTTACAAAGACTTAGGGCTAGAAAAGCCATACTATGTAATTGACTACACTGCAGAGAGGAATGTGTTTCATAATATTTCTCTTGTCATATGTGAGGCCATTAAAGCCCCTTATCATGTAGCATAAATATCTAATTTTTCTAGTGTGGTAGTTAGGGTTGTGTGTCAACTTGTCTGCACTAAGTTTTGGAGTAGTTTGGCAGCTGGATGTAGTTATTCCCCATGGTGAGATTGTAATCACCTCCCTGGTGGAATCTGCTGTGAGCACCCACTCAGTTGAAGGAGAGTTGCCTCTGGGGTTTGGCCTGCTTTCAGTATATATGATGAAGCTTTGAGAAAGGTCTTGAGCTTTTTGGCACATCCGGATCCTGCATTTGGCTGAGTCTTCATCTCTAGTTCCTGGACTTGAACCAGTGGCCTGTCGTGTTGTCTGCTGATCTTGGGATTGTTCCTAGACTTGAACTGGTGGTTTGCCATGTTGTCTGCTGCTCTTGGCATTGTACCATTTTACCTTCTGACTTGGAGTTGGTCAGCCTCAGCAGCCAGGAGCTGTCAGAATAAGGAGGCACCTTCTAGCTCCAATGGGCCTGGAATAAGAGGCAGAACTGAAGCCCAATGTTTAGGGGCCTTTGACTACCCCCTAGAGTTGGCACTCTGAATTTGGGCTTTCTGGCCTCCTAAACTGTAAGAGAATAAATTCCTGCTTGTTAAAGCCACCCATTAGTGATTTTTCTGTTATAGCTGCACTAGAGAAACAAGACATCTGGGTTTGAAGTTTAGGACATTATATCATTTATTTAGTATTTATCAAGATAGAGGATATAGATTACAGGCAACCAAACCAAAAACAAACAAACAAACAAAAACCAAACTCACTTCCATTGAGTCAGATCTCCCTCATAGCAACCCCTCCTTGGGTTTCCGAGATGATATCACTACAGAAGTAGATTGCCCAGTCTTCCTTCTGAGGAGTGGCCAGTAGGTTTGAACTGCCAGCCTCTGGTTAGCCTTTGACTCTATGCCACCAGAGCTCCTATTTGTTGTTATTGTTAAGTGCCGTTGAGTCGTTTCCAACTCATAGCAACCCCAGGCACAGCAGAATGAAACACTGCCCGATCCTGCGCCAGCCCCACAATCCCTGCTATACTTGAGCCCATCA